GGCCCAAAAAAGGCCCTTTTTAGCCTATATTCAAGAAGCTATATCTCGATGTCCTATAAACCGATTTTAATTTACAATAGCTTATTTTTGTTGTTGTAACGTCAGCTATTTATAAAACAACTTTCAAAACCCTAGATCCCGAGATCCATTGTCGGGGACTAAATTAGTGCGGACGAAATTTAAAGATTTTAGTTATTTTAAAAAAATCATAAATAGTGTATGGCTAGTTAAAAATACTTTTGATAGGCCTTATTTAAAAGGTTTTCTTATTACCTTTAAAATGAGAATTGGTAAATTAAAATTGATCTAGTAGATTCAGAGTTAGAGCTGTTTGAAATTAATCATTTTCGTGAAAATCGCGTTTTTTCGAATTTTCAAGCTAGCAGCAAAAAAATCTTTGAACTTTTAGAGTAACGAAACTTGGTGTGATGATAGTTCTTCACATGAACAACAACCTGTAACTCTTTATTTTTTGTGTTTTAGCAATTATTGACCTTATCTAACTGCTTCAAAAATTGTAAAAATCAAGTATTATGCATCTAAAGTAAGCCAAAGTACTCGGCAGTTTTTCCATTCTTGAATCAATTTCACAATACTAACTTTTTTTTCGGAATATACATAATAAAAGTACTTACCAAGAGCTTTAATTTAAGTGGTAGTAGAATTCTCTGGGTGCTCGAAAACCAAAGTTTAAATTGTTGAAACGTTTTTTATAATTCAAAGTTTTAAATCTGTGAAAAGTCGTTTTTGCCTATTAGTTAATTTATGTGAAATTTTAAACAATTTTGATTTTGTAGTATGATACTATGACTTCCAAGATAAAACCACTTTGCAATCGAATTTTGTACGTCGATGCGCATGACGTCAATTGGTGATAAAAGTTTATCTTTAATTTAATATTCTAAAATATATTTTATCAAAAATGCACACATTTATTTGTCAACGTACCAGATAAATGATAAAACAATACTAAATCTGACAAAATTCCATGCAAAACAGAACATTTCTGGTGATATTTGTCGCCAAGTGACGTCACACGTGCAAAAGAGATAGACTGATCGCTTGCGCGTGGGTTTATCTTTAATTCATAGTATCATGATTTTGTACCATACAGAAAACTTCTTTATTATCGAATGAAAGGATTACATATTTAATTTTAAAACATTTTATTACCTATTACTATAATATTATGTTCTTAAAAAATAATACAAGAATTTAGTTAAATGAAATTAAATTTACTTAAAAAATAATACGAAAAGTATTTTGATTTCCTGTGAAACTTTGAATTTACATATTTAACCAGAATATTTCATTGGTAAAAATTCGTTAATTACTTTTTATCTTTATTTTATTTTTATTTTTATTTCATATAAAAAGTTTATATTTAATCATTAGAACTATTTATTGTAAATCTACATCAATAATTTTTTGTTCTTCAGCAAAAGAGGTAAACTTCATTATCATTTGTTTTCCTTTTACTGGAATGTAAGAATGATGCTTTCTAATATTTGGAAATGTTTTAATAGCATTGAAACTCTTTCGCAAATAGCACTCATATTTTTGTACCTCATTATTTGGTACCCATAAGGCTCTATAATAAATTATAAAATTACTATACAATTATAAACATTTATTTTATCATTATATTAAAAAAATAATTTTATATAATTACTTTATATTTGTAACATCATTATTGTTTACATATTCATACATCTCACTTGCATTTGTGATTTGTGCTTCTGGATGTGACCTTATACAATGCACCATAATCAGTCTTTTTATAGTACCGCCAGTAGCATCACATGGAGATTTCCCATAACTGGTTGCAAAAAAATTGTATGATGTTACGTTTATTCCAAATTCTTTTTCGTGGCATATTATATTAGGCAAATGATTCCTAGGCGGAAAATAACAATTTCAAATTAAAGAATCATGATAACATTTTATTATTATAAAGTTAAATATTTATAAATAATTGAAATTTTATTACTTATTTCTGTATTGCTGAGGTGCTCCATCTGAAAAATAGATGACATTTTTGATCCAGCTATATTTCTCTTTAATTTCGGCCATTAATTTTGCAGTAAACGCATTTATTGTGTAAGCCAAATGATCCTTAGTGTCACTAATCATGCAATAATTTACGTTTAAAAGTTGATCACTTTCCTAATTTTTAAAATAAATGCAAAAAGGGTGTACCGTTGCTTGTCAATTATTGTAATAAAATGCTTGAATAGATTGCTGAATAATAAAAGAATAATTTTCCGAAAAGTCCATTAAAATGATACACGTGTATGAATCTACATAAGTTATTTTTGCAATCACTCAGATATCTTTTTTGGCTGTCTGCTACGAAATGATGAAAAGTTAAATCATCTATATCTTTACAAAGTTGTGTTTTGAAATATTCTGCATTTTCTTCAAAACTTTGAAGTGAAGCTGAACTGCCTTCCTCTATCCAATTTTTATACTTTATTGGTTCCGTTGATAGTTTAATGTAAGTTCTTTTAGAATATTTTCAAAAGTTTGTTGCACACCTAATTGTCTTGGACACTTTTTACATTGATTGGTCATACACTTCCCCTCGTCAACAATGCAAACAGCACCAGCTAACAAATCTCTTTAATTAAGTTTTTTTGAAATTGCATTTAATTTAAGCTTTATATTTTGATGCTGAGCACACACACACACAAATAGTGTGACTACCAGGGTCTCCTGCATGTATGCATTAAACAGGTTTCAAAGCTGCAAAGAATGAAAACGATGGGACCTTTTCACTACCACTGTATTCTTCTTTGAATTTTAAGTACAAATTATGTACCGTATATAACAATATTTTTTTTGGATCAAAATTTTTCTTCCTTGATCATCGTGGTTTATTACATAATCTCTTTTACCAGGGAAAGTGTACTCATTTTCATTACTTACATAATAATCTTTTATCTGATATTGTAATTCCTCGGAAATTATCGAATATTTTTTTCTTTAGTAAGTTTTAATATTTTCTGGAAAGCTTGTAATATACATTTATTATGTTATATCTGCAATCTATAGTAAACAATTATTATGTCAAAATATCTCAAATGAAATATTCGTAAGATATTTATTGACTCTAACGTTTGCAGATTACAGAAATGTAGTTATTAACTTATTTTACTTCACATTAGTTTATTAATGACATTTCGGATCTCTCAATAGACCCTCATCAGGTTCAGAAACATTTAAAATTTCATCTAAAACTTACACACTATTATATAAATTTTTGCTATATTATTGGAAAATCACAAAATACTTTATATATAATATCACTATATTATTATTTTTTTCAGAAATTTTTGTAAAATAATACGGTAAAACTCTATTGTCTGCTTATTATATTTATTAGAATTCCAAAAATTACTAGAGAAAAAATATTTGTGCACACATGCGTGCACGAATTCGTACTAGCATTATTTCTTGGCCGCTCGGCGGTACATTTATTTTGTGGTTAAAAACTGTTTCAATTGCTAATAGATTTAAAAAGTGACTAAAGAAGTTTTCTATATGCTACAAAATCAAAGTTGTTCAAAATTTTACATAAACGTAGGTACTAATAGGCAAAAACGACTTTTCACAAATTTAATACCCTGAATTATAAAAAACGTTTCAACAATTTCGACAACAACTTTGGTTTTCGAGCACCCAGAGAATTCTACCATCACTTAAATTAAAGCTCTTGGTAAGTACTTTTATTATGTATATTGAGAAAAATGAGTTAGTATTATGAAATTGATTCAAGAATGGAAAAACTGCCGAGTACTTTAGCTTACTTTAGATGCATAATACTCGATTTTTCCAATTTTTGAAGCAGTTAGATAAGGTCAATAATGGCTAAAACACAAAAAATAAAGAGTTACAGGTTGTTGTTCATATGAACAACTATCATCACACCAAGTTTCGTTACTCTAAAAGTTCAAAGATTTTTTTGCTGCCAGCTTGAAAATTCGAAAAAACGCGATTTTCACCAAAATGATAAATTTCAAACAGCTCTAACTCTGAATCTACAAAATCAATTTTAATTTACTAAGTTTCATTTTAAAGGTAATAAAAAAACCTTTCAAATAAGACCAATCAAAAGTATTTTTAATTAGCCATTCACTATTTATGACTTTTTAAAAATAGCCAAAATCTTTAAATTTCGTCCGCACTAATTTAGTCCCCAACAATGATTCTTGGGATCTAGGATTTTGAAAATTGTTTTATAAATAGTTGACGTTATAGCAAAAAAAATGAGCTATTCCAAATTAAAATCTGTTTATAGGACATCGAGATATAGCTTTTTGAATATAGGCTAAAAAGGGCCTTTTTTGGGCCTTTGAGAAGAGATTGCTCGGGCCTTAGTGAATCTAAAGAGCTGAAATTTGAACTGTAGTCTTATTTCATAAGGCATAATAACATACTATAATTTGGAGCAAATCCGAAGACCCCTCCCACAAAAGTGGGTAAAAAGTATTGGAATTGCTCATATATAAAATTAAATCTACTGAAGTATTAATAGATCAACAAGGGACAATTATTCGTGATTAAAAATTGTAATTACATCAAAAGAACGTTTTAGGGACAATAGAGATGATACTATAAACCTATAGAAGGGTTTGATATAACCATCAAGAGATGGAACATGCGATATGCCTTGCAAAAATTAATAATGCTCTGGAACCAAACGAAATACATTCCAAACTACTAGAACTAATAGGCTATTCCAATAAGTTTTGCGGTGCGACAAGAGAGGGCTAGGTTACTAGCTTAATTTGTCTAACAATGTGTCCTGTTTTATGTATAACAATATCGACCTGTTTTAGCATTTTCGCAAAATACAAATATAATATAAATATTAACTGTAAAACTGTAATTATTTAACTGTAGGTAATGCTTTAGCTTACTAACATATGATTCTCTCTAGCTTAAAGATTGGGGTACTTGGTTATCTCTTGTAGTATATCCCTTCATTTTATTTGCAGCTTAGGGCATGTGGTCAAGTATTAGACGATATGATAGATAGATCCGAAATTAGACATAACGAGCTTTGCTGGTACAAAAACGATCAGATAGGTTTCACGGCTATAGCTGACAGTACCATGATGGAAAACAGCGTATATGCAATTTTGAGAAAGTATTTTTCTGATCATCCCTTATATGTGCCGTTACTAGAACTTTTCCAAGATATCACAATAAGAAGTGCCTTGGGTAAATCTCTCGAAGCAGAGATTACTCATGGCAATCGACACGATCTATCGAAAATGACCATGACGAATTTTTCTTTGATATCCAAATATAGAACCGGATACTTTAATCTGCAATTGCCAGTAGCGTCCGCCATGTATCTGGCAAAAATGGGCGATCCAGAGCAACACAGACAAGCCAGGACTATTCTTCTCGAAATGGGCCACTACTTTCAAGTTCAGGTGAGCGCATCCAAAGACAAATTTTGATTATTTCGTAATATATCTACATAATTGACATTGGCGTATTGAAAAAATAAATTAACTTTATTCTATTCTGATTTAGATTCAGGGTAAATTATTATTGATGTGATCTTATTGGCAGGACGCTAAATATTTGGTGCATTTCTGGAGCATATTTAAAGAAATAAGAAGGAGAAATCATATACTTTGATTTGATTGCAGTTTAAATTTATATTTGCAACTAAATTGTTGTCTTCTAATGTTAATTCCGTTCACAGACACGTCCTAGAACTCAGTAAATCTTCGTATTGGCCGATTGCCATTTCAACGTTGAATATCTTAATCGCGCTACAACTTTTTGTGGGTGTTGACCTGTTTAACAACATTCTTCCATTCGGCCCTGTCACTTTTTTCTTTCGCCACTACCTGATGTTCATGGTTTTAAGATCTTCCTCTACATCGTATATCCACCTTTAAAAGGGCCTTCCTCTTGTCATATTTCCTTGGGGTTTTGAACGTTGAACATACTATAGCCATTTTAACTTATACTATCTTATTTTGGTATTAATTGGTGCCATATCTATACTTTCCCCAATAAATTCATTCTTCGTTTTCCTATTTCTTGTTATTTATATGCATTTGTTGTGCTTTATTTTTAGCTGCCCAACATTAATGCAGTGCATTATCGCTGGTTTTATAGTAGTTTTATAAAATTTGCGTTTTATTTCATTAGAATTTTTATGTCACACAATGCACTTCTCACCTTCTTACATTTCATCCACCCTGTTTTAACTCTACTGCATGCGTCTCTATCAGTTCAGATCCGATCTAAAAAGTCTAAAGCAGAATAGTACACCAAATAATATATAAAGAGTACATAACTGAATAATATGCACTTTAACTTTTGTTTCGGACTTAGACCTGAGGTAATTGTTTCGAGTTTTGGTCCTGCTACAAAATGTGAACAAAATTAAAACACAACAAAAAGTATAGGACCTTGAGCATAAATAACTAATTTAAATATTATTAATATCTATATGGAAGTGACCAGAATGTAGCAGGTAAAATCATCCGACTGTATCAAAAACATTTTATATTTAATGCAGTAAACAAAGAGCTTCAGCGGAGAGTAGAAATATACAAAGAAAAAAACAAAACTTGAACAAAAAATTTATTGAATGTCTCGAAATTGGAAAATTTTCAAAAACTGTCTACTTACTAACATACTTGTATTTCTGAGGAATAATCTGCTTTTTATATTATGAAACAATGGATTCAAATAAAACTGTGACAGTTCTTTTAGCTAAAGTAGGAGAGTGGATGAGTATAGAGAACATTTTTTACAAGAGCTTTATAAGACAAAGAAAAATTGGCTCACAGAGCCAATAAGAGACATATACAAAAAATTGTTATAAATTCAGTATTGTTGGGTGTTCTTTTTTTCTACGTCACAATAGTATATTTCATCGATATGATCTTATTGTAAATAATTTGATTGATTTGAGCTTGTTTGCTAATTTGGCGAGAAAGTACTACGTTTTACAGCGCTTCTCACAAGCAAAGTTCCTAAACGGCTGTTGTTGTGTTTTGTATTTGAGGTTATTCGTGATAAAAATACGAAACCTATTGAAACACCGATTGAACAATTTTATAAAAAAATTGGTTAAAAATCATATTAATGTAGATGCAAAAAATTGAATTTTTTTTTTTTTTCATTACGCCAATGTATATTTATCAACTTGAGATATATTGCGCAAATATAGTTTTGGTATCGAGGAGTTGTATTGATCAAATTAGCCATTATTATGTTATTAAAATATCTAATAATACAAAATCCGTCAAAAACATTTTCGAAATATGACACTATTACGAGACATTGTTTTGAACACATCAACTGTACGACATATTTTTGGGATTATTATCACCACGTATTTTATTTAGGTATCTTCTTTTTTTTTATTATATTGGTTTCCTGAGGACTTTAATTGATGTTATTAATTCTTCTATTAATACTTCATTTTATGTTATTAATTTATCTTAAGCAATTTCCTTTTTATGTAATTTTTTCCTTTCAACGCAACCCTGTTTTTGTTTCATGACTAAAAGCAGTTAATTTTAATATCTGTTTTCATTGTTTCATTTGCAATACACCCTTGCGTCATATTTCCCTTTATACGAATGTAGTATAAGTGTTTTTAGCATTATTTTTAACCTTAATCATATAATCATGATCATTGACTCTATATACAATTCTAATATATTCTTCTTCAGTCCATGTTCGTCTTCTATTTCTTTCCATTGATGTCTATTTTTAGCAATTCTCACCCATATCCCACGATATGTTTGATATCATCTATCCAACTCTTCTGCGGTCTGCTCATGTCTCTTCGTCCATTTTTTAGGATTGTATCGAGCAACATGCCCGACTTGAGTCTCGCTACATCAGTAATATATGCTCTGTCTCTCAAACTAAAATTATTTATAAATGCCATGATCTTTGTTCTTTAAAATATAGCTTAACTTGCCGAAAGCTGCCCAAGATTCGTCTTTTTATTTCGTCTATTTGCTTCTCTTTGCCGATATTAACGGTATGTCCATAGGGTTATGATTAAGTATGGAACCAAATAAATATCTGAAACGAAAAAGACGATATTCATGAAACTTTGCATGCACATACATTTGCATGTTACACAATGAATCTGACGCCATATTTTTTGTTACTGCTCTACTTCCGGTTTTACCGGAAATACCTTAAATTTTTTATTTAAATGGGACACCGTATATATTTTTGGAGATTTTAAACAACTTATTTATAATTCAGATATACCAAGTTTGATGAAAGAAATTTCTCAAAACGAGGAACAAATCTATTTACAGTTAAAGTTAAAGAATATGTATGTACATTTATTTCCCAAGAACAATCAGAATAATAATTTTAAAAATCACTTTAAATGTTCAAAATGCTTGCAAAAGTTCACATCCTTGTAATGTAACCTATTAATTTTTTATTAGTCTAATGAGAGTAAAAACTTAAAACTCATGTCTTACGTAGATAGACGACGTCACAATTTCAGTAGATCTGGGAAAATTTTATTTACTTATTCTTTAACTGAAAAAGGTACAAAAATAACAAAAAAAGAAGTTATTTATCCAGTAAAAGCTCAGAAGAACGGAAAAGCCACCGGTCCAGACAATATCAATGTCGATATACTTAAATATAACTGCAGGCAACGAAAGTAAAAGTCTCGATTTAATAGCAGCACTATTCAATATGACACAGGTAGAATACCATCAGACTGCGATGACTATCGAATATTAAGCATGATGTCTCATGTCCTTAAATCTTTTATCAGAATTATTCATAAACGAATTTACAAGAAGTGTGAGTTTCAGATGAGTGACTCTCAATTCGGATTTCGAAATGGATTGGGAACATGAGAAGCTCTTTTTGCCTTTAATGTGTTAACACAACGATGTAGATGTAGATGAATGTAGATGTATATGCATCGAAAAGCATTTGACTGAGTTACACAAGACTTGCGAATTATCTCAGATATATATTGGCACCAAACGGAAACATTTGAAATATAGCACACAACATTCGAATATATACGAATCCGACGAGGAGTGCGATAAGGTTGTGTCTTATCACCACTATTATTAATCTGTATTCGGAATCTATATTCAGTAAAGCATTAGACGATGTTCAAGGTGTAATCAAGATTAACGAAACCAGCATAGATATCAGGTACGCTTATGATACCGTTCTAATAGTAAGCAACGCAAGAACTACAAGATATAATAAATGCGGTAGTTCATAGCGAAATGTTCGGTTTACATCTAAATGTTTCCAAAACTAAAATTCTAGTATTTTTAAAGATACCGACAAACCTACATTTGTACGCCAAGTTACAAATAATAGAACAGGTAACTTCCATAAAATATTTGGGAGGATATATCAACAGCCAGTGTAACCCAAAAAAGAAATGCTGTCAAGAATCAAACAAGCAAGAAAAACACTCAGGAACATGAAAACATTTTTTACAAGATCAGATCAGAACGATGTAGAGACGTGAACTGCGACATTTATGCGTGCTTCATTGACTACCATAAAGCGTTCGATACAGTAAAGCACAAACTGATGGAGATATTAACCAATATTAGAATAAACACCTGTGATTTAAGCAATCTGTACTGAAATTAAAAATCATCTATCCGGACAGAGGCAGGAGAATCCGACGATATCAAAATCAAACGTGGCGTCCGTCAGGGATGTATACTATCATCACTGCTGTTTAACATATACTCTGAGGAAATCTTTCAAGAAGCAGTGGGTGATGTTGAAGCCGGAATTAGAATCAACGGAGAATCTATCAATAATATTAGATACGCGGACGACACGGTAGTATTCGCTGACAGTTATGAAACCCTCCAGGAGTTAATGAACAGAATCACAGAGGAGGTCAGTCAGAGATACGGACTTTCACTAAACACTAAGAAAACAAAATGCATGATGATCTCTAAGAAGGAACAGCAGTTTGGACAAATCAGTGTAAACGGTCAACAAATAGAAAGAGTAAAAACATACACCTACCTTGGTACGAACGTCAATGAAAATTGGGACCATTCCATATAAATTAAATGTAGAATAGAGAAAGCAAGATCTGCATTTCAAAAAATGGCTAATTTATTCAAATGTCATGATTTATCAATGCCCATAAAAATCAGATTACTACGATGTTACATCTTTCATATACTTTTGTACGGAGTTGAGTCATGGACTCTCACAGACACCACCTGCAAGAAAATTGAGGCTTTTGAAATGTGGCTTTATCGTCACATCCTGAAGATATCGTATACCGACCACGTTACTAATGAAGGTGTTCTGTTGAGAATGAAAAAAGAAAAAGAGCTATTAACCGCAATAAAAACAGCCAAAATCGTGTACCTCGGTCACATCATGAGGAACAGCGAAAGATATGGACTGCTGCAACTAATCTTGCAGGGAAAAGTAGAAGGAAAATGGGGACCAGGAAGGCGAAGGATTTCCTGGCTGAAAAATCTACGAACGTGGTTCAACACAACAACCACAAATCTTTTTAGAGCAGCAGTGTGTAAAGTGCAGATTGCCATGATGGTCGCCAACATCCGAAACGGATAGGCACTACAAGAAGAAGAATCAGATCTTAGTCTTTAGCTCAGAATTATAATGATCAGATAGATGTTACATTTTCTCTGTTTTGCTATATGGCTGTGAAAGTTGAACAATGGACTCTAAAACAGAAACAAGAATAGATGCCTTTGAAATGTATATAGACAGACGGATGCTGAGAATTCCATGGATACAAAAAGTTACCAATGGTGAGGTACTTCGGTGCATGGGTAAACAAAAACAATTACTCATCAGAATCAAAGAAAGAAAAATACAGTACTTGAGTCATGTGTTGAGAGGTGAAAGATATGAATTACTCCAAATCATATTGGAAAGTAAAGCGCAGGGCAAAAGATCAGTTGGAAGACGGCAGAACCCGTGGCTGAAGGAGATGGTTTGACAGCTCACCCACAGAAATCTTTCGTGCAGCAGTTTCCAAAGCTACAAGCTATACAGGTTTTCCCATTCAAATTAAGTAAGTTGCGGGTTCCTCCGGTGAAACCGAAAGTACAATAGTAACAAAAAATATGGCGTTAGATGCGTTATGTGTCATTGTACTTACATGCAAACTTTCATGAATAGCGTCTTTTTTGTTTCGAAAATGAGTTGGTTCCATACTTTATTCCAACTCTGTATATTATAGTGATCTAGATTTTCAAGACTGATTATATCAGTCATAAACCTATATGGATATAAGGAGGTTAATTTTGAGACCTATTTTATTTTACTGCTCATTTAATTCTTTTAACATCTGTTCTAGTTCCTTGATATCTATATTATTGCCTATTTTTAACCACATTTTATAAGTCTCTACGAACGAATTGTACTACATTTTTTTAGATCACATGTGTATAATTTTCGATAAACTAACAAATCTTTCTACTTTCTTTTCGTATACGTTTGTTGTAGTGAATCAGTCCGCATTCTACTTGTTACCAATAATTGTCATGGTTACAATGCATTTAGTTACAATGTTTTCTATGTTTTCCGATTTTTACGTATGTCTTCTCTCTAGTTTCTCACTTTGATCTCTCCCTCTAGAGATCTCCCTTTGTCTTTCTGTATCTGGCTTCCATCAAATAACTTTATTAATCAGGAAGTTGGATCCTCTTCGTTCTATATTTCCTATGTATCACATATATTAAAATGAATGTGCCTAGAAGAATCTGCCTGTATCTATCTATGTTTTATATATCTATCGTGTCGCTCATCTCGTAGTTCAATTTTCTTATCGATTCTCTCAAAATGTCTTTACAAAAAAGATATATCAACTGTAATTATTTCATACATTCTTGTTCTACTAATTCTAAGAACAACTTTAGTTATGGATTTATCTATTTGACGACCATTGTTTAGTTTTAATATCTTTCGTTTACATTACCTCTTCTAACCAACTTAAACATTACTCGGTTCTTTGGTTCTTTGTATGTCACCTCATTAATATGGTTTTATAGTTTATGCATTCATAATTACTACAGTTGGCTAAAGATCAATACTTTTTCTTGATAACCTCGACTGTAAGTTCGACCCATTAAAATATCTCTTTTTGTCTTTTAGAAAGACTTTATGAATTGTTTTGGAAAACGTGGATTCACTGACAAAATTGGTTCAGACATTGAAGAAGGAAAGTGCTCATGGCTGGCTGTAGTTGCTCTCCAACGAGTCAACAACGCTCAACGGGAAATAATGGAAAAGTATTACGGTAAAGAGGGAGACGAAGCCATTGAAGCTGTCAAAAATATGTATGTAGAACTCGGGCTGCCCGCCACGTACGAGAAATATGAGGAACAGACATACAAAATTATCCATACGCACATCCAGCAGATTTCAAAGGGGCTGCCTCATAAGTTGTTCCTTACATTGTTAGATCAGATGTACGTTTTGGATCAGTGAAAATTAGTGCTAATTATCTTGTTAGGGTTATTAAGAATGTGATATTAGGCTGCACAACGACTTTTACATTCCAAAATAGTTTGGGACCAAAAATTGATATGTGTATATTTATATGTTAAACGCAAAATCGCCAGTATATTTTATTACTGTAATTCTTTATATATTTGTTAATAATTATAAAAATTGTTTTACATATTTGACTTTGATTTCATATAGAATAAAGTATACTTTAAAATTACAAAGTCAAAGGAAAAAATCCCAGTTTTTTCCTGTATACCATAGTTTAAAAAAAACGTACGTAGATGTAAATACTTTGATGTATAATGGTATATTTTATTAATAAAATTTATCCAAAAGGATTTCAAATCTTCAGTGAAAAATATTTAAAGTAGTTGAAAATGGCTACGTAATTAAGTGTGAAAACATTTGTATTACATGAAAATCGTGGATAATTTTAATATTATGACACTAGTTCGATGTTATATGATTTATTCTTCCTCCATCCTATGATGAACCTACATCTTCCCTGCTTAATTCTATCGACCTGAGAAGATGTAGGTTCCCTTCATGTTAGGATATAACATTGATTTATTGTAAACCACCAAATAGTATAGACATAAAATATAATTGTGTATTATTATGTTAAATAATTAAAGTACTTATTGAAAATGGCAAATAGCCAAAACGTTTAAGCAATAATTAAGTGCTTTATTCTATATATGCTATCACATACAACTACCTATTATATATATATATATATATATATATATATATATATATATATATATATATATATATATATATGTAGGATTATCGACCGAAACGTAAATAACAATTTATTGTAGTGGTGGATCGGTTATGCGGTCTGTTATTTGAAAAAATCTCTTTTTCCTTTTATTTCTCTGTATTTCGCTGATTTTTTGTCAGCTTCATCAGGAGACAACTAAAATATAGTTAAAAGTTATATAAATATAAAGTGAGAATAAACAATGAATTACTTACAGATTTAGAGTTAAAAATATTTAAAAATGTTCTTGTACATAATATGTTCAACAGTGCTAATACTATTGATTAAAAGCACCTAGGTCATTAGTAATTAAGTATAAAAAGGAAACAAAAACAACCAAGAAACAATTAAAACACAATAAAAACTAAGAATATTACAGTAGATATTACTCAACTGTCCCGTGTCTGCCTTGTAATTTACTGCATATTTTTCTCTATTAATATGACATTTTTAAATACAATCTTTTTTTGTAATTATTCTCTGTAGAACCCTGACATTTGAGTAGTCAAATTGATGCCCAGTTTTTAAATAATGGTCAACTGCCGCACATGTATTCTCTTTTTTTGTGCAGTCACTTTTGTGCTGTGTGACCCTTTGTTTTAGCCATTGAGAAGTTTTGCCAACATAACAGCTCTGGCAATCCAAACAAGACAGTTTGTAGATAACATTAGTTTTATTTACAGTTGGTGTCTTGTCTTTTACTTTAGAAAACAGTTGTCGGTTTTCTAATAAATTATATTGTACAATTTTAATGTTGGTAAATTGTTTAAATAAACTAGTCACAGAAGGTGTTAACTGTTTTATTAATGGTAGTTTTATATTGGATTGTTTGTAGTGCTCCGATATGAGTGGGACCGTCAAAAATGTCTCGAGTTAAATATCAATTTTTAAAAGGATATGTTTTGGGTATCCATTATTTTCAAAGATGTTTAACAGCAAATTTAAGTTTCTGTTGAATTTATCATCACTAATATGCGTTACCCTATTCTTCATTGCAATCACTGTATTAAACTTTTGATGAGTAAGATGATTTGAAAAAAAAGTTAAATATCTTGCAGAGTATGTTGGCTTTTGATACCAATCTATCAATATTTTGTTTTGTTCAGTTCTTTTTAATTTGGTGTCCAGAATATATTGAAAAAACAGAAGACCTATTAAATGATAAAATTACATATCTTCAGCTAAAAAGAGATCCAACTATTACGATACAATTTTTTTATAATGAACTTATTAAAACTATGAGGAATAACTAAATAAAGAATTTGCCAAAAAACTGACCATATACAATGCATCTTGTCCGAAACTTTACTGCATACCAAAAATCCATAAAGAAGGTATACCACTTAGACCTATTGTAAGCTCTATAAATTCGGTAACTTATGGCTTATCCAAATTTCTTGCTAACATTCTTAAAGATGCTTTGGACGAAGTGAACAACTATAATGCAAAGGATACATTTTCATTTGTTAATGATGTCAGAGAGTTGATTTTACCGAAAGATGATTTTTTTATTTCGTTAGATGCCATATCGTTATTTACTAATATACCAATAGATCTGGTCAGTAATATAATACAGTCAAAATGGAATCTCATTCAAAATTATACAACAATCTCTAAGGATAGTTTTTTAATACTTCTGAATTATGTTTTTGAGAATATCTATTTTAGCTTTAATGATAAATTCTATGTTTAGATATTTGGATTATATATGGGTAGCCCTATAATAGAAACCATCATTTTGGACCATTTGCTGGATGTCATTATTCCACAATTATCTTTCCCTTTACCCTTCATTAAAAAATTTGTAGACGATCTTATATGTTCTGTTCCTACTGCACAAATTCAAAATACCTTAAACATTTTGAATAACTTTAACAAACATATCCAATTTACTTTAGAGATTGAAAATGATTGTTCGATATCATTTCTGGATACCAAATTAATAAGAACTGGACAAAACAAAATATTTATAGATTGGTTTAATTTAGTTCAGAAGGTATTTGTGGGAGGCTTAGTGGTCACAAGACAAAGGATCTTGCTACTTCATCCTTTAATGAAAACGTTTAGTATATGAACCAATACACATTATCAGTACAATCTTAAAGTATATCAATAAGCTTACAAAAACAGAGAAAATATCAAAGAAAAACTTGCAAGATTATGTAACTATCAACTGATGAAAGTAAAGTTTAAAAAGCTCAACTTGGAACCATGGACTTGTAATTATAAAAAGTTCATGTTTTTTTTTTAAGAAAGACATAACTACGTTAGTTTTATACAGAATAAATAGATGTATGTAAAAAAATGTACAGATAAACTTTAATACATGAAGAAACAACAAAATACTCACCACAGGTAAGGCGGTTTGATTGATAAATTATTTTTATTTAACTTTTGGTAACATATAATAACGGATTGATTTAACATAATTAGCGCCGCTTCTTGGATTTTTCTCTTTTTAACATCCGTTTCTTTAAGAGCTATATTTGAATCTTTCCGCTGAACTCTATGTTCATTTTCCCACACGTGTTTACATATTTGAGATCTATCAAATTCTCTATTTTTGATACAAAATTGATGTTCACTTGTTCTATAATAATAAGATAGAATAAGTAATACCTTATTTTTTTCTTCGAGGGACAAGGAAAACTCTTAAAACCAAAATAATATAGCCAAATAACAAGAAACAATCTCACTTACCTTATATGGTGTTTCAGCAATTTCGTTAGAATTAGTTTAGTTATTACCCACAAGGAAAAAAGATTGTTAGAAACAATAAAAGTTGTTACATACTGGCTGTATTTTTTACTAGTTGAATCATAGATTTAACTCGACATATTAATTTATATCTTACAACTACAAATTTAATGTATATAAAAAATAATATTTAAATATGCAAAAAGGATGTACCCCTTCAAAAAACGTTAAAACTGCACTGCACTAAGTACCTGTAGAAGAAAAAAAAATAAAAATAATTAGATGCTTCCTTTTTATCGGTCTCCCATCAGAAAATATTCAGCGTTTTAATTGAAACTGCCGTGGTTAGTTATAAAAAAAGGTAAAAACTTGCGGTGAATTTGTGCTTTCACCGCCATTAAAGATGAACTAATTTGCACTGACTTAGAACTAATTTTTTTGCTGGTTTGCTGCACTCTTTACTTGATACTGTTTTATTGTTTTTATTATTAACAACTACTTCCAAAGATATATTTGATCTCCAAAGATCAAAGATTTGGCTTTCAAACGGCCAAACAATGCCCGTACGGCGATGGTACAAATCGGTACAGCCTGACTAGTGGATTACGACATGATCCCTCTCAAGATCCAATCATGGATTGAACAATTCGTCTCTGTGATGATTCACATAGCCTTTGAAATATACATACTAACATATTTGAAAACTCAGTAATTAAGAAACGAAAGACAATAAATAATCATCTTGGTAGAAGCATGTGGCAATATGTAAACACCAACTATTGTGCTTATTTGTGAGACGCAATTCTAAAAGCGATTTTATGTGCTGAGTAAAATAAACATTTAAATTTTAAGAAGAGAAATCATACGATTTACTACCTGGCGAAACTAAATTCAATTTTTTACCACTGTGCCTTCTACAACTTGCAAAGCAAACAGCTTGATGAATTACTCGGCAGGGAATCTAAAATATGCATTCCACCTGCCGTTCATCATGGTCAAAATTCGTAGTGAATTCAGTTTCTGGTGCTCCAAACAGAGTAAAGAAATCAAATATAATGACGGTATTAGATTTTTGTTTCGATGCAGGGCAGCGGCAAGCCACTTATACGTATTTCGACCTCTTTAGGTCTCATCAGAGTGGTATATATAGAGCAGTGGCATACATTTTAATTAATTATAATTAAAACAATGTCATTGAATACCTTGTCTCCACTTATTTGCATGGAAATTTGGATTTAGGTTATACTTACCCTCCACTTAAAGATTGGACTCGTGCCCTTGGTTGATTTTTATTTTTTAGAGATGAAAACGACCCCTATTAGAAAAAATCAAATAATTGTAAATTCAGCAATTAGGAATTATTTA